ACCTAAGATATATTGGGGAAAACACAGGAGGGAGACGAAGTTGGTGAGGAGAAGCTAGGGTTAGAAAGTTGAAGATGACGAGATTCGAGGGGGATGACACACAAGAGTGAGTGTACCGGTAGAGCAATATTTCACAGTAAATGGCTAAATGGGGAGGAGAAGCTCATGGCGATAGGGTTATGTTTGGAGGGAGAAGCCCTAACAAAGTTTCAGTACGAGGCAAGATACTTGATTTGCTAGTGTGCGGAATTTAAGAATTGCCTGTTAGAATGTTTATGGGATATTCAAAAAAGAAATCTATAGGAGGAATTCCTTGTCTTGACTCAGAAAAATATTGTCATGGAGTGAAAGATTCAAATTATTGTGTGTGCGGTTAAGAGGGATTTATGAAGGAGTATTAGAAGAGAATTTCATAAAGAGTTTAAAGCCCTACAGACTTGCAACTTTCCAAGTGTTGAGACAGTTGGGACTAGGAGAGATGATGGAGCTAGTATTAATGGTAGAAGACAAGAAACGGATGGAAAAGACCAACAAAAGCAGCACCATGATAAGATTCTACAAACATAACTCGGCAACCCTGACATCGAGGACCCAGACGATGTCGATTTAGAGGGTCGTGCCAAAGAAGAGGGGTATGGGGGCCCACTGAGACAAAGGTGTGGGACAAAAGAGCAAAGGGATTGTGTTTCTGATGTGATGAGAAGTATGTACCAGACCTCCTATGCAAGGATCGCACACACTAGGTCCTTACAATTTGTGGTGGGGAGGAGGCAGTAGTAAGATGTTGGAGAAAGAAGTGGTGGAGGGAGATGAGCACTTACACCTTGATGTAGCAGAGGTGTCCCTCCACTCAATGGAGAGATTTACTCGAAATCACATAATGAATGTGAAGGGAAAATCGGAGAGTAGTCTGTAATGGTGTTGGTGGATAATGGGTCACTCACAACTTCATCTCAAAATGGGTCGTGGACCAATTGGGATTGAAGTTAGTAGAAATGGGAAGTTTTCGGGTTATGATGGGGACGAAGAAGGCAGAGAAAGCCGAGGAATTTACAAGGGATTGGTGTTGACGCTACAAAGCATACAAGTGATGGAGAGCCTTATTCCCTTAGATATGGGAAGTACTGTTTATGAGGATGAAGTGGCTGCAGATGATTGGAGAGACGAAGGTGAATTGAAAATCCTTAACCATGGAGAAGAGTGGAGGAGAGGATGGTAAAGTTGAGAGGGGATGCTTGCTTGTAGGGTTGTCAATTCAGGTCAGCGGGTCGGTTCGGGTCCGACCCAAAAATGACCCGACCCAAATAGAATCAAACCGAACCCGACCTGAATAATAAACAGGTTGAAAACTAAAACTTGAACCCAACCCGAAATTTCATGCTTATTCTGGTCATGTTTGGATTTTCGGGTTCGACCCAAACCCGAACCCGACTTGAATAATAAACATATTGAATTCTCTGACCCGAACCCCTCGAAATATATTCGGGTCAACCCTAACCTAAATTTTTTGAGTCGAGTTCGAGTCGTTTTGACTTGTCGGGTCAATTTTTGAGACCCCTACTTGCATGTACATAACCACCAGAACCACGATTTCGCTCAAAACCATGGTTTAGACGATGCGGGAATTGGTCTATTTAGTAGAGTTGAAGAGTACAAAGGAAATCTAGGATCTAAAGTCAGTAGAGTTACTTGAGTGTGTTCAGCAGCTTATGCAACATTTTTCTGACATCTTTCAACAGCTTAGCAGCTTACCGCCACCCAGTATGTTATTACATTGAGGGAAGGGGTCCTCCTATCAATGTCAGAATATATTAGTATCTCTAGATACAGAAGGATGAGATTGAGAGGTTGATCAGAAAGATGCTCGAGGCAGAAATTATTAGCCCAATGTGAGTCCATTTTCTAGTACAGTCTTATTGGTGAAGAAAGATCAAAACTGGAGATTTTGTGTGGACTACAGGATTCTGAACAAGGAAACAATAATAAACAAGTTTTCTATTCTAGTGACTAATGAGCTTTTTGGAACAATCATCTTCTTCAAGATTAACTTGAAGGACAAGATACCAACAAGTTTGAATGTGGCTGAAAGATGAGCATATGAATGAATTTCAAACTCATGAGAGCCACTATGAATTTATGATTAAATGGAAAGGGTTGTCGGATAATGACGTTGCTTGGGAACCATATGACGTGATCCAGCAGCAATTTTCTTTTTTTTTCTCACCTTGATGACAATATGTCTTTTTGGGAGGGGTGTATTGTTACGTAGTCCTTTAAGGACAATTTAATCTTTTATTAGTTAATATTGTGGGGTATAAATAGGGCTTATTGTGCTTAGGGTTAGATTATACTATTAACTTGTTGTATTGAGTTTTAGGGTTAGAGTCTGGAAGAGATCACCTATTTCTCGAATTGTAGGTGTTGGGAGATATTGCTTGCCTTTCGAAGTATTTATCTTTATGTGTTTGAGTTGTACTATTTTGTGTCGGTGAAGCAAAGAATTTTAATTGCCCTAATTTTTATGAAGATTCGTCAAGATTCGTATTAGTAACCTACAATATTGCAAGTGTGACAATATCAAACACAAAGCTAGATAATTATGATTTCACGGGAAATGCAAGCTTGAGCCTTTATTTTGGAGAAATAACTAGCATTTGAGTTGCTCTGAGTGTCAAAGACTTCAACAAGATGCGAAAAATGTTGAAACATTTTTGCTTTTCATAGAAATATGTAATCACCACAACCAATATGTCACCATAGAACCAATTGATAATAATTAAGGTGGATCACATAGAACTTAAAATTTTTGTATTTACATATTTCACGCATAAAATGTTATATTTAAATACATAGCACCTAAAACCTCCAATAACTCAAAAAATTAGCACTCAGTTAACTTTTTTCCATGAAATATGCCAGATTCGTGCTTGTTGTTCTAATACCAAAGTCGTTGTTGGGAGATGAACGTAGAAAGAGATAGAGTAAGAGAAGAAAAAACACTTCAATTCTTCTTGCATCTCACCATATCCATTAGCTAGCAATCGGCTCCACAAAAAGTGAACTTCTCTTTGAAGCTCGTATGCAAACTTATTCTCCTTGAAAGATCAATAAAAAGGCGAAGCCTAGAATGACGGCACATTGGATAGTTCCTCCTTACTCCACATATGCCATAGAAAAATTAGCAAACAAATGGATTCAGAAAAAAGGATAGCAACTATGAAATGGGCTTCAAAGTAGCTCTAATTTCGCGATGGGCAGCAATCACTAGTGCCAACCCTTGAAACTGACTTGGAGAAGAGAAAGTAAGAAGAGGAAAGCATTTACAAGAGAAATAATGGATTCACAGAGGAGAAAAGAATATGAGAACTTATTGAACCAAATATCCCTTGCGGATTGGATAGCATGATTGAGATCTGCAAAGGGGCGGTCGTGGCCGTCTCTCTGGCAAGCTTGATGCTCCTATTGCAACTCAAAAAATCCTTCTTCATTTGTTGTCACTCCATTATCTTGAGGGACATTTACATACATATCAATTAATTCCTATGTATTACATATCTAACACCTACGGTTTTCTTTTTACATTTAACCACAAAAATCTTTCATATCACAAAAAAATAACACCATTTTAACTTTTAAAAAGTAAAATACACCTTTTCAGGCATAGGTCAGCTGGTATGTATTTAAAAATTAAAGTTTATGTTTTGGATATGTAAAGACAAAAGAATTTAGTGGTATGCATGTAAATCTTCCTCCAAGATTACATCCATCTTGTTTTAGTTTCTCTAAATCCATGTCAGCGGCTTTTACGTTGTAGTCGGGACTTTGATGAAGCAAGACAAAACCAGTGCTAATTTTGTGGATCATTGGAGGTTTTAGATGTTTTTTTTTATGTGTGTAAATATAATATTTTGTGTGTGAGATATATAAATAAGAAGTTTTTATGTGCTATGAATGTAAAAAATCCCATAAAATAATATAAAACTAAAAACTAAAAAGATTTGTTGTTCATGCTTGAAAAGAGAAACAAAAAAAAAATTCATCGTGGTGAACAAAAATAGCAAATACTTGTACCAAAAACATTGGTTTAATTGATAAAGTTAAGGGAAATTTACATGCACATCATGCAATTCTTATGGATTTATGTATCTCGCACCTAAACTTTCATATTAACATGCATAACACTTTACAAATGCATGAAAAGATGGATTTGACTATTAAAAAATGGTAATTAGTGTTATTTTTTATGTGATGCGGAAGAATTGAGTGCTATGGGTGTAAATATGGAAGTTTTGGTGTAAGATATGTAAATCCATAAGCCTTGTGTGCTATGTGTGTAAAATGCTCCTAAAGTTAAATGCAAAGCAAATATGTAATTTTAAAATGATAACTTGACTATAAATACATACCCATTTATGGAAAAGAAGGGAAAATATATGCGAAGCAAAAGATTGGCTCCATAATAGAACAATCAAATTGAGAATGCGCTGCCCATTTTCAGGCTTAATGACAAAATGATTTGCCATAACATCATAAAAGCATAAGCGGCTTTCAGTAATTTCATCTGCATCAGTGACTTTATCTTCATCCTTGCTAAGAATTATTTCTGTTTTCAACCAAGTAAAAATAATTAGGCATTCACAAGTATCAATATTCAGCAATAAATTAAAAAGGTTGGTTTGGAACAAACAATTATTTCCTGACAACTTTTAAGTGCATAAATTACACAAAGATGGAATCAAAATCATGATTAAGGTATGGGTACGGCACACAATGAAAGTTTGAAAAAGGAAAAATCTTGCTTCTTAGTTTAATGCCATGCAAGTAACAAAACTTGGGGCATTTACATACATACTAACCAATTCTTATGTAATTACATATCTAACAACTAAACTTTAGTTTTTGCACTTAAATATCACCCAAAATCTTCATATCACATCAAACATGCTGCGATTTTAAGTTTATGAAAGTGAAATACAGCTTTGCATGCATAGATAAGGTGGCATGTAGGTAAGAAATTAAGGTTTAATTGCTAGATATGTAAATACATAAGAATTGAGAAGGCATGCATGCAAACTTCTAAAAACGCATCTATCCATACCTCTTGCTCGGTCATCAATCTCTAGCGCTATATCGGCAAACAGTTGCTGCAACAGTTGAAGCCTTTGGGACGGAGAGTTCAGCGCCTGCAAACACAGTATCAAAAAATCTATCAACTCAGGATCTCTTCCACCAACAAAATGAAAACCAGAGACAGCCAAATCCAAGCCCAACAAATCCATTTAGGTTTTTAGGTTTTCCAAATCCAACTCCCACGAACTTCATTCCTAAAAAACCAAATCCAAATCCCAACAAACGGTTGTAGCTGCAAATAGTTTGATCGGAAACAAGAAATCTCACCTTTTGGAGTTTCCTCTCGATCTCCTGAGATAGGGCGGTGAGATACACTGACCTTTGATGCGCCGCAGCCTTCTGCATTCCCCGGTACGAAATTGCATCCAGCCGAAAGCCCTAACCCTAGTATTCCACCCCCTTAATAGTTATCCGAACTGAAACACCTGGAAAAGTGAAATGAAGCGCTGCGAAAAGAAGAAAAAAGAGATCTTTTAACACAGTGGATTAAGATTAGAAGGAGATGACTTGCCTTCATTCAAAAAAGCTCTGTAAAGTCCAGGAAGACGCAGACTTTTGGGTTGAAAACAGTCTCTGTGCTATCGTCGGAGAAGTGGATTGGCACTTCGGAGGGATTTACGGGGAGAATGGGATGCGCGTGCCGTCTTGTGGGATACACGTGTCGTGCTCGCATGATTTGCTTTCTGTAAAAAATGGCTTAGCCGCGGCGCTTCGGATTAATCGAAGTTTACTGGAGAAAACTGTTAAGGTTGTAAAATTCGAGGCATTGGATTAAAGTATATTTTTTAAATTCTTATCATGTTTTTTTAATCAATCCTAACTATTTATGATGACTGTTAAAAAATTATCATCTAATTTTCTTAAAAAATAAAAAAAATTATAATAACTTCTATAGTTTTTTAGAGCGATTTCACAACTATTATTTCAAACAGCTACAACTGTGCTCAAATAGATCTTGAGTGTCATTAAGAAAGTACGTAGAACTCCATTAAGAAGATATATCCATTATGAAATAATAGAAGAAACAAACAAAAATTAATGAAAATAGATTTTTAATATCTATAAATAGCACCAAACAAAAACTAAGCCAACAAAAAATAATATGTAAAGTCAAACCAGCATTTCATAAGTGATAATTAGCTTATAAATATTGCAAGATGTATAATGCGCATGATAAAGTAAAATCGTTTATGAATATTGCAAGATATATTATCTACATGATAAAAAAATTTGATAAATACTGGAAAGATTTGATGTGTGTAAGAAAATTTGAGGCGGTAGAGTAATGAATTATCGTCTTTAAGTTGCACAAGAATTCAACACACACTCTGATAAAAGAAAACAATCAGTAGTGACACCATAATTTTTTACGTGGAAAACTCATAAAGGAAAAAAATCGTGGGGTCTAGCCCAGCTGAGAATTCTACTATAAATTGGATATTACATGTAAAGTTCCCTGTCCCGTAGGCTGAAAAGGGGTAAACACTCTTTGGACAACGTCGATGCAACTTGTTGTCAGAAGTGGGTGGTTGGCTATGTCAATCTGTGGAGGCCGTCAGGTGGCAATTGACGGCGGTCTGCAGTAGTCAACCCAAATCGACGACGGTCGACGACAACAAAGATGATGCTAAACTTAAGGTCCTCAAAACTTCAAACTCTTTTTCAAATTTCAAGTTCTCTTTCAAGCCTCCAGCTCCCCTCTAATGAGAGCGGTGGGGCTCTATTTATAGTGTTCTGGGTGTAATTAATGCAAAAATATGAGTCAATTTGATTGGACGGTTCGAATGTCTTCATTTAATCATAATGTGTTTGATGGACATTCAAGTGTCTTAACGATGTTGGAATTGGACAATCTTAGATTCCTTGAATTCATCTTATCGAGACCCTCGATTTAACTATAGGCTTGCTAGATTCGACATTCGTTTAAACTTCTAAATAAGACAGGAAAACTTTCAAGAGTTGTTTAATGACTTGATCTGAGTTTGATTTGACTCGAATTGGACTAATTTTGGTAAAATTGTGTTCTTCTTGTCGAGTCAATCAAGTTGACTATAATTTTGCTGAAATTGGAGTTCTTGATAAGTTCTTTATCGATATTTAAACATTTCATGCTTAAAAATCCGTCTTAAGATCCATATCATATCTCAAGATTCATGTCAGATGATAAAGTTAGAGACATTTCAACAATAATAAAAAAAATTAACTTTACGAACATAATTCTTAAAAACCTTTAAATTTCTATTATAACAATTAATGATAATTACCTTTTAAATTATAAAATTTCTTAATAACCTTAACAAAAATTTTATTATTTCTTGAAATTTTTTGGTCTAAGTATTACCAAGACACCCACATTCCTACACCAAAAGTTTAATTTTTTGGTACATTATTTGATACAACTAAAAATTTATGTAATTATGAGGGTTTATAACATAAACTTATATTACATTTAGTAAACTTGCGTTAGATTCTTATACCATCAAATAAATTTAGTTATATGTCTGTGTGTGGGTGTGTAATTTAAATTTAAAATAAATGTATTATAAAACCATTTAGGTTGATGATTTCAATTAAGTTAAAGTGGGAGGCACTTTCATCATCAAGGCACCTCAAGTACATAAAGCAAGGGCTCTTTGATTAAAAAATGATGATAATTACATACAGAAACTTTAATATTTACAAAATTAACTCACGTGATTTTTTTCGAACAACCAAATCGGTTTATTTACACTTGTCACGATCAAACTATTGAGAATTTGATAAAAATGAAAAATACGGGTTGTGATTTTATCATGCTTAATGAGTTCTAGTAAATTATTGAGTACAGCGTCAAAACAAAAAAAAATTATTCCATACGTGCAACGCATGGAAGCCTGCATGCAGTAGTCAATTAGAAAATGCCACGTGGAATCCTGTCACACTACCACAAAATATGTAAATTCCTTATTTTTTAACTCATGTGGCCTGACCCGACCCTCCTTTTTTTGGAAAATGAAAAGCATAAAGGCCATTTCCCGAGTTTTCCCCCACTTTATTTTTGCATTTTAAGGTTTAGAGTTGTCGAAATGGATTGCTCTCTGAACAAAGACAACGACAACGACTTCCAGATCCAAGTGAGTTTAGATTCGCTCAGAATGTTTTTTTTTTATCTGAAAGACATTGTTGTGATTTGGGTTCTAGGGTTTGTGCAAGTTCTATTTTAATGGATGCTTCTGGCATTTGTCTGGGTTTATCAGCGGTTTAATTAGTTGATTTAATAGTTACTTTAATTATTTATCGGAAGGATACTTCTGACATTTGTCTCATTACTTGTGTTTAAGCAGTTGTTTCTCTAGGTTTATCGGAGTGTTACTTTAGTGGTTTTCAATTTATTCGAAGTTCTTGTTGTTGTAACTGTTTTGGTTTTAAGTGTTACCACATCTCTCATTGGCAGTATTCTCGTGTTATTTTTGTTAATGAGA